ATCAACCTCCTCAAGATCTTCATCAGAATCTCACATCTTCGTCTACGGTGGGTGTTCACCGGAAAAATACACACCAAACACTCCTTTCGAATCAAATTGCTACACTTTTCTCTCCTCCGTAGTCACATCCTCCTCTGACTCCTCCTTCAACAGCTTCGCCGTCGGTAACGACTCATCCTCCACCGCCGTCTACGGCCTTTATCAATGCGTGACGATCTCCGATCATTGTACTGCTCAAAATGTATCCAAAACACCGTAGATCAAATCACTCTCCTTTGTCCTTACTCTTACGGTGCTTCTCTCCAGCTCGAAGGTTGTTTCTTACGTTACGAGACCAATGATTTTCTTGGGAAGCAAGACACGAGTCTTAGGTACAAAAAGTGTAGTTCCAAGAGTGTTGAGAATGATTATGATTTCTTTAAACGAAGAGACGATGTTTTGTCGGATCTTGAATCGACTCAACTCGGGTTTAAAGTTAGCCGGTCCGGTTTAGTCGAAGGTTATGCTCAGTGTGTTGGTGATTTGAGTCATAGTTACTTTACGGCTTGGTTGTCTTGCGTAATCTGTTGGGAACTTAAAGAATCTAAAGGACATGATTAAAACGGGACCCTTCTTTGCGCAAAAGAAGTCTCAAGAAAACTCAAAAACCAAATCTTCTCTCAAGAAGGCCTTCATAAACTAGTGAATCTCCATCCTAAACAAGTTAAAATGTGGAGGAAATCTTTTTGAAAAATCAGTTTAGGAAAGAGTTTAAAAATTATTCTGACGTATTTAGGAAGACCTTCCAATAAATCTAAGAAACTTCCTAAAATAAAGAAAACATTCTTTAAAAACTAGTTTACGAAGTATTCTCACTTTTTTAGGAAAGACTTCATAATTATGTAGGAAACCATCCTAAAAATCCAGTTTAGGAAGGATTCTCACAAGTTTAGGAAGGAGATTCACTAGTTTAGGATGTATAGGAAACTTTTTTAAAAAGCCAGTTTAGGAAGGAGTTTCACAAGGTTATGAAGGCTTTCCAAATATTTAAGAAACATTCATAAAAAAGGAGTTTAAAAATTATTTTGACATATTTAGGAAGGCCTTCCAATATATGTAAGAAACTTCCTAAAATAAAGAAAACATTTTTTAAAACTAGTTTAGGAATGACTCTCACTTTTTAAGCAATGACTTACTAATTTAGTAGGAAATCATCATTAAAAACCAGCTTAAAAAGGATTCTCACAAGTTTAGGAAGGAGATTAAGTAGTTTAGGAAGACTTTTCTAAACAAGTTAAAATCCTTCCTAAACAAGTTAAAATGTGTAGGAAAGCTTTTTAAAAAACCAGTTTAGAATAGATTTTCACTAGGTTAGAAAGGTCTTCCCAAATATTTAGGAAACCTTCATAAAAAAAAGTTTAAAAATTATTCTGACGTATTTAGGAAGGCTTTCCAATATATGTAAGAAACTTCATAAAATAAAGGAAACATTCTTTAAAAGCTAGATTAGGAAGGACTCGCACTTTTTTAACAATGACCTCCTAATTATGTAGGAAATCATCCTAAAAACTAGTTTAAGATGCATTCTCACTTGTTTAGGAAAGAGAGTGAATCTCCTTCCTAAACAAGTTAAAATGTGTAGTAAACCTTTCTAATAAACCAGTTTCGAAAGGATTTTCACTAGGTTAGGAAGGTCTTCCCAAATACATAGGAAACCTTCATAAAAAAAAGTTTAAATATTATTCTGACGTATTTAGGATGACCTTCCAATATATATAAGAAACTTCCTAAGATAAAGGAAACATTCTGTAAAAACTAGTTTATGAAGAATTATCACTTTTATAGGAAGGACTTCCTAATTATGTAGGAAATCATCATAAAAAACTAGTTTAAGAAGGATTCTCACAAGTTTATGAAGGAAATTCATTAGTTTAGGAAGACATTCCTAAAAAGGTGAAATACCTTCCTAAACAAGTTAAAATGTGTAAGAAACCTTTTTAAAAAAACATGTTTAGAAAGAAGTTTCACAAGGTCAGGAAGACCTTCCCAAATATTTAGGAAGCCTTTATAAAAAAAAGTTTAAAAATTATTCTAACGTATTTAGGAAGGCGTTCCTATATATGTAAGAAGCTTCCTAAAATAAAAGAAACATTCTTTAGGAAGGATTTGCACTTGTTTAGGAAAGATTTTCACTTGGTTAGGAAAGTCTTCTTTCCTAATTTCGACAACTTGACTCATCTCAACGCTTGTTTCCATTCCGGCTTCTCAGAGATGTTGCCTATGTTTCTCTCGAGCTGTCCCAACCTAAAATATCTTGACTTGGTAATCATGATTACTTATCTTTTCTTTCTTTAAGTTTGGTTTATTTTTCTTAATGAGTGTTAGTGACTATGTACTGTTTTTTTTTGTAGTGGCTTGATCAATTGATGGTTATCCGAATATGAAGAAAATCGCAAGCTCGCCTGTGCCTCAATGTTTTCAAACATCTATAGAGTATATCGATGTAAAAATGACCCCTGATGCTGGCCAAGAGAGAAGCCGGGAAGCTGAAATCGAGCTTGCGAAATATATATTAAAGAATGCAACAATTCTCAAGAAGCTCACTCTATGGTTACGTGGAAAAGAAGACGAGTTTAGCAGCGTCCATCAGCGAGTTCTCACGTGTTCAAATCGCTCTTTGGTCGAAGTGAAGATGAATCTATGACCAGCAAAATTTCGGATAGGTTATGGATTCGAATTTACGCCATTCTTTGATCCGATGGCCTTATTTCATTCATATAAGATTATATTTCTTTGAGATTTTTCGGGTTAGTCGTAGTCTTTTTTTTTTTATAATTCTTCTTTGTAGTATTTGAGATTTTTGTCTTCGAGATTTTTTGGGTTAATAGTGTGTTTTTTTTAATAATCTAGATGTATGAATTATCTCAAATTTTGAGAGGGAACATAGAATAAAATTGTTTCCCATCTATTTTGACAAGGAATGAAAAAAATGCATTTTTACATGAAAAATTTCTTTTTATTACTTGAAATTTTTTTTTTGTTACTATTTAGTAGGACAA